CTAATTATTATGTCTATACTTTGAGCAGTCTGTCAAAATCTGTTTTTTCATCTGTGTAATGGAAGTTTTCATTCTTGAAATGATTATGGAAGCACCTTAGAAAATGTAATGCATATATAGAGAGGAACTATTCACATCACCCCTGGGTTTCAACCCTAACGTCATTACAGTGAAAGACTTGGACCTAAGATGCCTCCGAAACCACAGTCCTTCAGCAATAATAAGTATATAACAATAACAACAGCAACAATAATAATAAACAGCGGCAGCAAAAGCAGCAATACTTACAGGCTTAGATGAGGACTGAATGAGACTATGTTATTAAAAACATGCTGCTCAACTATAAATAGGTAGATACATAGATAGATGAAAACATACATACATAGATGACGGAGAAGGATATCAGGAACACGATTTGTACTCCAGAAATTCCCAACGTAATATAAGACATAATATGGATTCACAAATAATTAGAGCACATGGGAAGATTATAACTGCCCCAAAAGTAGTATACGGGAACAATGCTGACTGACACTTCTCTTTCTAGAAGACAAGTTAGTCAGATCAAGATGCCTACACGGGCTAAGAAGATATTAGGAACAAAGTGATTTGACTAACTTGTGTTTTAGAAAAAGCAGCATTATCAGTCAGCATTATTAGGTCCAAGCAGATCAGCCACACAATTTGTGAGACCCATGACAAAAGAAAAACGCAGGTCTCTTTGTTAAACTTTTCCTGGGAATTTCAGAACAGTGGCGGCTGAACAGTAAGCCAAGGGCAGGACAGTTCTAAGTTCAGAACCACCTGAGTGGCATCTCCCTCATACAGCAGAAGATGACCCCTGCCTCCCAGAAGGTCACATAAAATAGGGAATTCCCAAAACATAAGGAGGGGTCATGTGCTAGGCAGCCAATAAAGATGACAGAAGCCCATTATAGAAAGAAGATATTTTTCTCAGGCAGATAATCAAAGTTATAAAGTTTGGCCTACTTGTTTTCCTCTGAGACTTGTAAGTTTATCTCGTAAAGAAGACCCTGATAGTAACACGTATGTACAACATATAAAACATATACACAGCCACTCTCTTCTTTCCAGCTTCTTTCCATCAGAAACCATCTTAGAAGTCCCCAACTTTTTTTCAAAATTAAGATTGATCTTAAACCATTCCCTTCTTCCGGCCAAAATCATCACTTTTCTGTTGCACTGATAATGCACTGTTTTTCACTGTCCATCCATACACTTCTGGATTACATTCTCTCAGCCCAGTCATGTGATTCTGGTGGAGCTGAGCTGCCCTCCCATACCCCTATTCCTTTTTTTTTTTTTTTTTTAAAGAGTGACAGAGAGAAGAGCTCACTAGAGAGCATCAGGGGGAGGGTGGTGGAGGGGGTGGGGGGGGGTCCTCAATCTCACCCTGAGATCATAACCTGAGCCTAAATCAAGAGGAGGATGTTTAAGCGACTGAACCACCCCAGTGCCCCACCCCTATTCCTTTTAATGCTAATAGGACCCAGGCCCAGCCAGGTTTAAAAACCCCTTTTTCTAGCCACAGTGGTCTGATAGGGACACTCTCAAACTTCAATATGCACACCAATCAACTAGGGATCTTCTAATATGCAGATTCTGATTCAGCAGGATGAGGGCCTGAGAATCTGCATTTCTAAGAAGCTCCCAGAGGAAGGCTCTGCTGCTGATCTGTGGACAACACTGAGTGTAGCAAGGACCTAGATGTGTCCACAGGGCCTAGGGTTGTGCACTCTAACCAAACCAGGTCAGTCAACACATAGAAAGCCCAGGGGTGGCTGAGCAGAGATGGAAAGAGAAGGAATGACCATTTTGTTTCTTCTTCCAGCTAGTTATACCTGACGCCAGTTCCTCCTCACTTGTCACACAGGCCAATAAATCTACCTTTTGTTTAAGTAAGGCTGGATCAGATTTCTTCACTTGCAACCAAAAGAATACTTTCTTTAGACCTGACAGTGCCCACGCTGTCCCGAACACAAGGCTAGTCCTTATTTGCTACCTTTGCAACCCACCTACCTTAAAGAATTTTGAATTCTGACTCAAGATTAAAAGAAGTAACTAGGAACAAATATACAATTGCCAAATTACTTGTTACATGTTTGAAATTCACTTATTTTTCTGTTATATTAAATTATCTAAGTAAAACTAACATAATACTTTTAAGGCTTCTCTTTGATCAATTGAGTAAAAATATGGTATTCATTTAAAAATTTTATTTCTAATCTGCTAGCTTCCTGTGTTTCCTATTAACTTCTCTATGAGTAACTATAACCTCTGGAACCAGGACAAGGGGTACAATACAGATCCAGTCTGTTGCAGGGAACAGACATTTGTAGAACTAGATTGGTATTCTAAACAGCATGCTGTTGAGTCCTAAAATTACACCAAGTTCATATGTGTCTACAAACTATACTTATCTATAAAAGTGTAAACTAATTGTTATTAATTCTTGTTAAAAATACACTGAGATCATTTTGCATTTTTAAAATTAGGCTCTCTGTTAAAGGCATTGTGGACTAAATTAATCATCATCTATTCACATGGCATAAATGATTAATCACCCTTGGAGAATAGATGGGTGGCAATTCTGAAGACAAGGTTAAGTAAACACTTGGAGAAGTCTTCCTAATGAAAAATGACTCTTGGTTCTGAGAGGTGATAATGTCATCATTCTCAGAAACAAATAGAACAGATATTCCCATTACAAGTACAAATAGAAGGAATTAGCAAATTCACAACGCATGGTTGTTATCCTTTTGTTAGAGCAATTTATACTGAGTCCAAGTAACAGTTTATCAAAACTGTCATTCTGTAAAACTAGGATAAATCAAAAGAGCAAAACAACTTTACCAGGTCAGTTCTTGCTCACAGCCTTTATATGCTTCTCCTTTGGAGGCTTTGTCTGTTTCCTTGGGCCTGGCGAGGTGCTTTGCATGGGCTCCTATGGCATCTGCAGAACCCCCGTCATCTGCAGAACCACACCACACCTGTTTGCTTTTCGGAATCTCTCGCTTCCTCTTCCCACAACCCTCTGCATAGTTAAACATTTAGCACAAAATCTTTTAAATATCTGTTTACTACATGGACAAGAAAGTTGGCAGATGCTATATTACAACCAATTCAACTCAAATGTGAAGAGCACCTTATGCTTGTAAATTGCTTGCATAACGCTGATGTAATCTGCTTTGAAAAAATTCATACAGCATCAAGTTTGAATTTTGTTTTACAATGTATTAACATGAAAAGATTTTGTTTTTCTTATATAAAATAAAGCTACCCGATGCTGTTGAGTTTGGCTAAAAAAAAAAAAGGGTGCTCTGCTTGCCTTTAAAAACCTTCAAATCCAAAGTCATAACCAAGGATTTAATACTACTAATGAAATAAAACAAAAAAAAATAAAAAAAACAGGTAAGTACCTTACAACTGTCCCAAGGTAAAGGAAGGAACTTGTATGTTTTTTCTGCCATGAATTATATCAACAAGTACCACTAGGGGGAGCTTCATATCTTCTTATTCACAATAAACAGACCGCTACACTGAAAGCATATATTGCTATACCCTTAAGCTAGTATTTACATGCTTCATTGTATGTGCAAGTTAATTTATCCCTAAATTTTATCTTAGCCCAAATATAGATATATTGATATCTATAAAATAATAATTTCATTTATATTTATTGAATAGTCATCAATTTACTCTCAAATGATCACTTTTCTTGAGGGACATTAACTCCACATGTAATTTTTTCTCCATTTTCATGGCTCTACAGACATGATAAATAAAAAATGTATTCAGAATCAAAAATACTAAACTTTTCCATGCCAAAAATAGGTAACAATTATGTATTTGCCTAAAGAAATTAAAGGAAAAAAAGATTTAGCAACTATCTTTAATTTAATGATGAGTTTCTCAAACTTTGTCAGTGAATAGCCAGCCCACTTAGTGTCTCAGCAATTTTTTCATGATGTTCCGGCCAAAATAATACCCAAAGGTCTGTTCATTAAGTAGTTAGATTTATCAACTTAAGAAGTATTGAGCTTCTGGGAGCCTGGGTAGCTCAGTTCGTTAAGCGACTGCCTTCAGCTCAGGTCATGATCCTGGAGTCCCGGGATCCAGTCCCGCATCGGGCTCCCTGCTCAGCAGGGGGTCTGCTTCTCCCTCTGCCCTCTTCCCTCTCGTGCTCTCTGTCTCTCATTCTCTCTCTCTCAAATAAATAAATAAAATCTTAAAAAAAAAAGTATTGCGCTTCTAAAAAAAAAGTAGTTTCTAACAACTTCACAGCTATTTGAAAGAAAATACACATAAACAGAAAGAAAAAATAGTATTTTATTTCATCATTCCACACTAACCTATTATCAATTGTTGTTTAACAAATTACCCCCAAAATTTAATGGCTTAAGAAACAAATAGAGTTGACCCTTGAACAATTAGTACTATTAGTACTATTAGCACTACTATTAGTAGTTAAGTTTTGGAGGAGTTAAAAGTTAATATGTGGTACCCTTAACCCCTTCAAAACTTAACTACTAATAGCCTACTGCTGACCAGAAGCCTTACAGATAACATAGTTATTATATGTTATTTATTTACTTACTTCTATACATTATATGAAATATATACTGTATTCTTACAGTAAACTAAGCTAGAGGAAAGAAAATGTTATTAAGAAAGCCATAAGTAAGGGGCGCCTGGGTGGCTCAGTTGGTTAAGCGACTGCCTTCAGCTCAGGTCATGATCCCAGGGTCCTGGGCTCGAGCCCCATGTCTGGCTCCCTGCTCAGCGGGGAGTCTGCTTCTCCCTCTCCCTCTGCCCCTTCCCCTGCTTTCGCTCTCTTTCTCTTTCTCTGTGTCAGATAAATAAATAATATCATAAAAAAAAAATGTCATAAGTAGGGGCGCCTGGGGTGACTCAGTTAAGCATCCGACTCTTGATCTCAGTTCAGGTCTCGATCTCAAGGTTGTGAGTTCAAGCCCTGAATTGGGCTCCATGCTGGGCTGGCACCTACTTAAAAAAAAAAAAGAAAGAAAGAAAGAAAAGAAAAAAAGTCATAAGGAAGAGAAAATACATTTATAGTGCTGTACTGTATCGAAAAAAACCCCATGTACAAGTGGACCCATGCCGTTCAAACCTGAGTTGTTCAAGAGTCAGCTGTATTTATCATCTCTTCTGTGGATCAGGGATTTGGGAGGGGCTTAACTGGGTGTCTGTGTCTCGGAATCTCTCCTGAGGTTGCAGTCAAGATGTCAAGGAGGGCCGGAAGGCCCACTTCCAAGATGGCTCATTCATGTGACTATTGGCAGAAAGCTTCAGTTTCCTGTTGGCTGTTGGAAAACAGGCTCAGTTCCTTTCACATGGGCACCTCCGTAGGGCTGCCTGAGTGTCTTCACAACATGGCAGCTGGCTTGCTCAAAAATGAGCAATCCAAGGGGGAAAGCAAGGAGTTGCTTCAATGCCTTTTAAATGAAACAGACTTGGAAGCTACACAGTCACTTCTGCCATGTTTGACTTTTTAGAAGCTAGTTACTGAGTTCAGCCCACACTCAAGATAAGAAAAATTAGGCTCTGTCTCTTAGAAGAAAAATTATCAAATAATTTTGGACACATTTTATAATCACTACACTTACCAATGAGGTCCAGGCACCTGTCGGGCACTGTACCGGTTAACTTCCTTGTCAACTTGACAGGGCTAAAGGACACCAAGAGAGCTGGTAACACATTGTTTCTGGGTGTGTCTCTGACAGCATTTCTGGAAGAGATTAGCATTTGAATCTGTAGACTGAGTAAAGAAGATTGCCCTCTCCAATTCAGGTGGGCATCATCCAATCTGTTGAGGGCCTGAATAGAACAAAAAGGCAGAGGAAGGGCAAATGTGCTCTCTGTTCTCTGCCTGAGCTGGGATATCTATCTTCTCCTGCCTTCGGGTTCTTGGGCCTTCAGACTCAAAGTGTGATTTACACCATCAGCTCCCCTTGTTCTCAGGCCTTCAGGTTTGGATTCAGTCTACAACACCAGCTTTCCTGGGCTTCCAGCTAACAGACCAGCAGATCATGGAACTCCTCAGCCTCCATAATCACATGAGCCAATCCCTCGTAATTATCTCTTTCTCTATATCCATGTATCTATGTATGTGTGTGTGTATGTATGTATGTATTTTTGTGTATCCTACTAGATCTGTTTCTCTGGAGAACCTGACTAATATAGGCCCTATACACTCAAACTTTGGAATCACATTAGAAACGGGACCCTCATTTCCTGTTCCACATTGACTTTCATGTGCTATCTGCTTTTTATCATAGCAACCACTGAACTCTCAGCTTCACAAAGATATGTCTGTTATAAAAGCAATGTAGCACAATCCAAGGTTGAAATTGTAGGCTACCTGACGATCGTAGTTCACTTAGCAGCCAATAGATGTGCTTCCCTTGAAAGTTTTAAATATGTCATTTGGCCCCTGTGAGTTCACTGCAGCCCCACCAGACTCCCCCAGTGCACAATTAGACTTAATAACCTTTTTCTCAGAGGTGAAAATTAAGGTCGAATGTATGTTTTAAAAAGGCCTTCTAAACATGTCAATAGTTTCTCTATTTGTATTTCTTTTCTTTTTTTTTTAAGATTTTATTTTTTTATTTGCCAGAGAGAGAGAGAGCAAGAGAGGGAACCCAAGCAGGGGGAGTGGGAGAGGGAAAAGCAGACTTCCCTCTGAGCAGGGAGCCTAATGCGGGGCTCGATCCCAGGACCCCGGGATCATGACCTGAGCCGAAGGCAGACACTTAACCGACTGAGCCACCAGGCATCCTACTATTTGTATTTCAAACAAATTATAAGAGAAAACTGGGGAGGCTATTTCTAGCCATGGTCTTGAAATAGAATAAAAGTTTTATCTTGTTATGAACGCATGTGGAATGTAAAAGTATTCTATGAGCAGAACATTTTTCCTCTGCCCATTTTAGCCAAATGTCAGCTGGATATGAAGAAAAAGCAGTACAAGAATAGGAAACACAACATTAAAAAAGTTCACTCATAAAAAAAATCAATATCCAGAAAATAATTCCTTCCTTTTTATTAAACAAACAAAACAAACAAACAAAAAAAAAAACCACCTTTTAAAAATTCTCCTTACCTAATATAAGGGTATTTTAGTGTTGGCCAAGAGTCTGTGCCAAATGATTACACAGACCATCTCTTTCCTCACTTGTAGGAAGTTAGTCTTCAATAGAAAGCAAGCTCAGGTAATGAAAGGTCTTCCTGTTAATTATAGCAGATAGAAAAACAAAACAAAACAAAAAACATATTTCTCTTTGCCTTTTCCTGAAATCCCACTAAAATAACAAAAAAATTATTGCAGGCATAATCCCACAAAAACAGAGAAGGAAGAGGTGATGACAGCAGATGATTATGGTCCACAGAACACTGGGAGACAGAAAGCTGATAACCTAGTTGTTAATGACATAGGTTTTAGCTTTCTCTGTTTGGCTAAGTACCTGAAGATGAAAATCCCATCGCTAAGCAAGTTGAGTCATGCCACAGAAACTCAGAACATATCCATCAATAAAGGAACCACGGGCTTCTGAAGGCACTAGGTTTGCAAGTAGGGCTGAAAACAATGAGAATTTGTTAAAAGTCTTAATAAGGAGACTGGCATGGCTCTTTAGTCCATGCAGGCACATGACTACGTATCACAGAAGATGGTAGATTCCAGAGCACCTAGGTGGCACAGTCAGTTAAGCATCGGACTCTTGGTTTCAGCTCAGGTCCTGATCTGAGGGTTGTGAGATCGAGCCCTGCATCAGGCTCCATGCTCAGCGTGGAGTCAGCTTGAGACTCTCTCTCGCTCTTCCTCTGCCCCTCCTGCTCATGCTCTCTCTAAAATAAATAAATCTTAAAAAAAAAAAAAAACCACAAAGAGAAAAAGAACATTCAGCTTACATGGAAACGACTCATTTTTTATTTTAGGTGGAAGGCTAATGTATGTGTATTCACAATATTTATATTTGTACTCATTCACATCAAATGAGTCAATCAACATAAGAAATTTCTTGTCAATGGACTAAATTTGAATTAGAGTGCATATAAAATTTGTCCCCCAAACTACGACACTTTTGAGAGTAAAAGGGGGGCACTGTTAGTAATTATGTCAGAAAACAGATGTAAACTGGGACTGTCCTGGACAACCTAGGCACGTGGTCAATGTGGTTGTCGTTGTTTGAATGGATGTGACATCACCCTGGGGGGGAGGCATCTGGAGGGAAAAGCGGAGAGGTACTAGCCCTACATCACCTGTTTGGTTTTTTTTAAGATTTCTTTATTTACTTTAGAGAGAGAGAGAGAGAGAGCAGGAGGAGGGGCAGAGAGAGAGAGAGAGAAAATCTCCAGCAGGCTTCCCACTGAGCAAGGAGCCCCACGCGGGGTTTCAATTCCACAACACTGAGATGGTGACCTGAGGCAAAATCAAGAGTCAGATGCTTAACCAGCTGAGCCACCCAGGCGCCCTTGTACTACGCCATCTGAAAGCTGACTCCACCTGTATGTTTACCGTTCCCCTTGGCTGGTGTCAAAGTATCCTTTATGTCAACTGAAAGAAAACCAACCTCAAAATAGGTTAGTAAATGCTTTATTCATTGTCTTACTGAGAACTACAGCCCAGGAAACAGTATTTCAGATTGCTCTGAAGAACTCCAAAGCTTGTCAGCTACAGGAGATTATATATACAAAAAGGGGAAGGAGTATAAGTGATTCTAAGCAATTCTCCAAATTTTTGCATGTCACAAGGTATAATCTGTTACGGTTGTAAAAATTAAGGATTACTGATTTCCACATAGACATGAGAAAGACCCTTAGGCCATCTTAGTACATTATGTATCTATCATTTCTGATTGTTTAAAAATATTGCTTGCATGCCTCTGCCGAACTGGTTTTCCAGTTCTTGTTTTTGATTCCTCCTTGAGGTCACTTGAGATTCACTGAAGGCTTACATCTTTTGCCTAGTGTAGCTTTAGTGCATGTTTACAGCTCTGCTTAGCTCCCTGAGTTTCACGCTAACTTAGAATAGTGAACCAAAGAAGAAACGAGACGCTCTGGATACTCACTCTCCTCCCCATTCCCATAATTATCTTCTTTCACGCTCTATTTCTGATGTAACTCTATGCACATTTATTATTAAAAAAAACTTGAGTATCCTTATGTGTGTGGTACATTTAGAGATGAATAAGAATTCTTAAGAAGCAGCAAATCATATAGAAAGGCAGATTAGAACAGGAGCATTCATCAGTTCTCATCAGTGTTGACCTTGCTATGCAATGTAAGCAGAGGTTTGGAAATGTATGTACAAAGAAGTGACAGCATGAGGGGAGGAGTGCCTAAGAAAATCTGAGGGAATAAGAGATGCATTTATAGAGGGTGTAACTCCTAAAATAAGAACTAACACTCCGGACATTCCAGGCAGAGGAAACAAAATAAAAAGGGCTAGAAACTTGAAACCTTGGTGCTGAGGGAAACTAGAGCATTTTGATGCAACAGTACACTGGACTATTGATGGACTAGTGAGGGTGGCTTTGAGAGCATCATGAAGGATTCTGTTTGCCAACCTAAGGAGCTCAGAGTTTAACCCGTCTGTTGGGGTGAGCCCAGAAATCTTTACGTATTTTTAGGTTCAGAAAGATTCTAATGTACTTCTGAAGTTGAGAGACACTGAGATAGGAAAGTCTTTAAACTAGAATTAGGAGAAGGGAGTAGGTGTTACAGCTGAGAGGTAAAAACCACGTGGTGATAGAACGGATGATAAAGAGGCGATGTTCAGGGATGCATGTAGAATGTAGATATGCTCCAGCTCTCTGGCTTGGGCTACTGGACCAATTTTGATCACATTAAACTGTACCAGACAATGTTACAGAAGATTTCACCCAGGGAACAAGATGTTTCTCAAAAATAAATAAATAAATAAATAAATACTACTTTCACAACATATCTGATGCATCTGAACTTTATTTGCTGGTGGAACAGGAATTTGGAAGATGCTGGCATTTTCAAGTTTTGATGCTAAAAATTCATTACCTTCATAGTCTCTTTTTTGGGAAGGCAAGAGGACAGAGATATCCCTTCGGTGATACACAGATAAAGCAATTCCCAGACACCTGCAGAAGATGCTACAGACTGATAGGTTAAGCCTTTAACAGAATGTTTTGGTTTTCATTCAGTAATAAGCTGTAGGAGGAGGATGCAGGATGCTAAGTGCTATCTTTCCTGTTTCCCAGAGTTGACAACTCAAGACCACAGCTGAACACAATAGGTCCGATATTGAAAGGACACACACGCCCGTCTTTTCTACTTATTCCCAAATGGCTAACCATTTCTTTGACAAGCTGAACAGTATTCTGACACTTGGCTCATGTGAAGGAAGAGGCAGGAGAGAGAGTGGAGCTGGAGGAGGACAGGGTAATAATCAGAAACATTCAGAGAGTGCTTCCTGTAGACCACAAACGGTGCTACGCTCATTTAATTTTCCTCTCCTCCCAGCCCTCTGAAGTAGGTACTGTTATTATCTTAAGATAAGAAATTATCATCATAAGCAAACAGTGGCCTAGAGAAGTTAAGAAACTTGCTCCTGGCCACACAGCAGGTAAACAGCAGAGCTGGAATCGGGAAAACCATCTGGGCTCCAGCGTCAACACTCAACCAGAGCTGAGGAGTAGCTGCATCCACACTCTTGGGCCCAGCAAGGACTTGTTTCCATCGGACGGATGGA